TACCATTAAACCCTAAACCCTAAACCCTAAACCCTAAAGATATCGATACACCTGATGTATATAAAGATATAGATATAGATAAAGAAGAGGGGAGTAATTATATTTATTAGGGTATAAAAAAAAGGGTTTATACCTCCATTTATATAGTATATTCATATATATATGAACCCTAAACCCTAAAAACCCTAAACCCTAAACCCTAAACCCTAAACCCTCGTCGTCAGCGGCAGTATCGACAGCAGCGTGTTATCGAGCCGATAGGTGTGTGTGTGTGTGCGTCGCGAGTAATTCATTTTTAGTTCTTTTTTGTGGTTTTTTTCTCCTTTATATATTAAATTTAATTAAATTAAATAAAAATATATAAATAAAAAAAGAAAAATAAAGAAAAAAGAAGAAAAAAAGAAGAAAAAATGATAAAAATAGGGAGCAGCGTTGTGCTGCATCGGCTGCAGTGGTGGCTGCAGTACTGAGCTGTCTATACACCTCAATATGTATATTTTGTGGTACTTTTTCATCTTTTTGCCTTTTTTTACTTCCTATTTAATTAATTTACTCTATTTTCTCCTATTTATCCATAAAAAGCTGCATTTATTGCTCCTTTCCCCCTCTGCTGCTGCAGCCGACAGCAGCAGCAAGCAGCAGCGGTGAGCGCAGGAGCTGGTGAGCTGCCTATACACCCGAGAAGGAAGGATCGTTTTTTACCCTTTTTTCTTTATTTTTTCCTTTTTTTTATATCTTTTTATAGATATATTTTATTATATTTATATTATGGAGAGTCATACAGAAGGGGAAGGAGCAGCAGCTAACGATTGGCTGCTGCTGCGTGGATCTTCTCCCTCTAGCTATAACGGATTTAGTCCTGCTGCTATGCATGACAGCAGCAGCAGCAGCAGCAGCAAACAAGCAGATGCTGTTGCTGCAGCAGCAGCAGCGGCGGCTGCAGCAGCAGCAGCAGCAGTAGCAGCAGCAGATCCCTCTACTGCTCCTTCTTCCTCTGATGAAGAAAAGAGCGAAGATGATTACCCTAGTAGAGGAGAAGCAGCAGCAGCAGCAGTTCGTTCCCTGCAAGCTGCTGCAGCAGCAGCAATACGTCTTGATAGTAATAGCAGCAACAGCAGCAACATGAGCAACAGCAGCAGCAGCAGCTGCAGCAGCAGCAGCAGCAACTTAATAGAGGAAGATATTAACCCTTATATAGATCCTTCTTATTGTCCCCCTTCCTCTTTTGTCTCCTTACATACAAATATTCCCCTACACGATCCTCAGCAGCAGCAGCAGCAGCAGCAGCAGATCTGCTGCAGCAGCAGCAGCAGCAACTGCGACAGCAGCAGCAGCAACAGCAGCAGCAGGGACAGCAGCAACGATGCTGCAGAAATTATTGCCTCCTATACACAACAACGAGACACAGCAGCAGCAGCAGCAGCATCAGCAGCAGCAGCAGCAACAGCAGCAGCAGATATTCAGGTGTATATACACCCCAACTATGGGGGCCCCACAGATGATGAAGAAGAAGAAAAAGAAGAAAAAGAAAAAGAAGAAGAAAAAGAAGAAGAAGAATATAAATATAATTATAAATATAAAGAAAAAGAATATAGAGAAAAAGAAGAAGAAAAAGAAGAAGAAAAAGAAGAAAAAGAAGAAAAAAAAGAAGAAGGAGAAGATTACCGCATGCTTTCCTTCTCTGATAGTGGCTTTGATGTCTTTGACTGCAGCAGCAGCAGCAGCAACAGCAGCAGCAGCAGCAGCAGCAGCAACGAGGTATTATCTTCTTTCTCATCAGCAGCAGCAGCAGCTGCTGCAGTAGGTGCAGCAGGTGCAGGAGCAGCAGCAGCAGGTGCTGCTGCTGCTTCTGCTGCTCCCGCAGCTCGCTTTGGATCTTTAGACTTAGAAAAAGAGGAAGAGGGGGGCCCCAATGGTGAGGGGGGCCCCCTGGGGGCCCCCCTCAACATGGAGGTTACCGATGGGGGGCCCCTTGAGGACGAGACATTAGTGTACCCTAGTTGGGGTATGTTAGTAAGAGAGGCAGTAGCGGGGCCCCCAAAAGGGTACAATATAGATATAGATGGGGCCCCTATGGGTGGGGGGCCCCTGGGGCCCCTAGGGGCCCATCGTATATTATATTCATTAAAAAAGGGTACAGAAAGAAGAGATATAGGGGTGTCTCCTATAGATAAAAAAGGAGACAATTTATTAATAAATAAAGAAATAATAATTGAGCCCTCTAATAATAAACCCTTAGATAGACCACCAAGGAGGAGGAGACAATTAGTACAGGGAGAGGGTGGGGGGGAAGGAGACGGGGGGCCCCTCTCCCCTACATGCGGGGGGGCCCCTAGTTGCTCCCTACCAGAGAGGATGCATCTGCTGCAGCAGGAACAGGAGGAGCAGCAGGATGCTCACTGCAGCAGACGCAGCAGCAGCAGCAGCAGGGAGCAACAGGGACAACCTGAATTCCCTAGGGGCCCCCAACCTGTTGTTGCTGCAGCAAGAAGGAGGCCCCGTTATGATGAACCAGGGGGCCCCCATTTCTCTGCTGCAGCAGGAGAGCTGCAGCAGCAAGCAGAGCGTAATAAGGAGAGGGAGGAGACCCTTGGGGGGCCCCCCGAGGAGACAGAAGAAAAGAGTACTGAAGTAGTAATACCTATAAAGGGGGCCCCTGAGGAGGCAGAAGAAAAGGGTACTGATGTAGTAGTATCCATAGAGGGGCCCCCACGAGAAGAAACAGAGGAGCAGCATGAAGTGTATAAAAATGAGGGGGCCCCCCCAACTTCGGGGGCCCCCCCTCTGTCCCCTCTTAATAAAGAGAAGGGGGCCCCCATAGAGGCCCTTCTTGATAGGGAAAGGGGCCTCCTTAATTCCTTAATGGGGGTACATATGCAGGAGGGACAAGAGGAGACACCTAATAAAGGAGACACTTGCTGTCTCCTTTCTATTACCCCTAGTACCCCTCATTATAGTAATAATAATACCCTATTAAGGAGGGCCCCCAAGCCACAGGACCCTGTAAGGAGGCCCCGTGCCTCCCCTATACTACAGGAGGTAGGGGGCCCCCAACAGAGGGACAGCTATTCCCCTCCTCTTAATAGGAGGCACGAGGGGGCCCCCCCCACGGATCTTAACTGCTGCGCACAAGGGGGCCCCCAACAACATCCAGAGGGGGGCCCCCAGCTTCTTGAGAAGGGGCCCCAACATCTAGAGGGGCCCCCAGCACAGGAGGAGACGCTGCAGGGGACAGATACACCAGGGTGTGGGGCCCCCATTGAAGAAACCCTAAAAGAGGAAGAGGGCCCCATGGAGACTGCGGGGGCCCCCCTGACAGCTGCAGCAGAAGAAGTGGTAGTACCCTCTGAGGGGCCCCTCCCTGCAAACCCTCCTACACCCATGGAAGAGCTAGACTCTGAGGACGGGACCCCCTCGCCTCTTCCTGCTGCTGCAGGAGAGACGAAAAGGGCCCCTACTGGAGACAGTGGGGCCCCCAAGGAGGAGGAGGCCCCTGTGCAGGGGCCCCCACAGGTATCCTTGCCTCTGGAGGGGCCACCAGTAGAACCTCCTAAGGACCCACAAGAAGAACCTTCTCTACCAGTACCCACCCAACATATAGAGGGGGGCCCCCTTGGGGGCCCCTTGAGGGGCCCCAGGGCCTCCCAGGGTATTCAAACCCCCTTACCCGATTTCCCTCTGCATGCGACAAAAGAAGAAAACCCAGTACCCTGTTATAGCAGGGGGGCCCCTCGTCCCTGGCACGAAGACAGCGAGAAGCAGAAGCAGCAGCAGCAACAGCAACAGCAGCAGCAGCAACAGCAGCAGCAGCAGCAGCAGGAGAGCTCCAGCATGAAAGGGGACTTTTATGGGGCTCATCAAGGGGCCCCCATAGAGGCCCCTCAAGGGGGCCCCACTAGCCCTGGTTGCCTGGTGCCTATACCTGTGTTTGCTATGGAGCAGCAGCAGGAGCAGCAGCAACAGCAGCAGCAGCAGGATCTGTTTGCTGCAGAAAGGAGACACTTCGAATCTGCTGCTGCAGCAGAGAGTCCCCGTTGGGGATCGCCAAGTGTCTCTGTTTGTTTAGAGGTGGGGGCCCCCCCACCATCTATAAGGTTTAGTACCCCTCAGGGGGCCCCCCAGTACCCACATGCTTCCTCCATATCTCCCTACACAGTAGCAGCAGGAGGGCAGGGGGCCCTCCACGAAGAGGTGCACCCAGCCTACCTCAAGACCCCTCAACAAGAGGGGCCCCTGCCACATCAGGGGGCCCCCCACGAAGAGGTGCACCCAGCCTATCTCAAGACCCCTCAGCACGAGGGGCCCCAGCCTCATCAGGGGCCCACCCCAGCGTATGCTTCTGTGGGGCCCCACAGCACCACCACTACTAGCAGTTTGCTGCAAGGGGCCCCCCCTCAAGAATCTATCTCTTCGCCTACACCCACAGCGGTGGCCTCTCCTTCAAGAAGCAGCGCTCTGCTGCCACCGCAGCAGCAGCAAGAGCAGCAGCAGCAGCAGCAGCAGCCCATAGTGTTGAAGAACTACGCAACGGGGTGTATATACACAACACGTCATACAACAACAACATACAGCAAAGCATCTACTTATAGAAGAATCTCTGCTGCACCTCTAGATAATCTCTTGCTGCAGCAGCAGCAGCAACAGCAGCAGCAGCAACAGCAGCAGCAGCAGCAGCAGCTACTGCAGCAGCAGCAGCAGCTACTGCAGCAGCAGCACCATGAACCCCGTAGAGGATCCTTATGCTTACCTGAGTATATCCCTAATGCTGCTGCTGTAGGGTACAGAGAGTTACACACCACTACCCCAGCAACAACAAGTCATAGAGGGGGGGCCCCCATGGGGGCCCCCCTAGTTGCTCCTCTTGGGGCCCCCATGGGTGCATCTTTGGGAGCCCATATGATGGGGGCCCCTACAACAGGGGCCCCCCGTAGGAGGGCCTCTGTAGAAGCATGGGTTGCTGCACCTGTAGGGGTAGGGGAGAGGGGCCCCTCTACACCAAGAGAGGGTCTAGTAGGGGGGGCCCCTATACACCCGGAGATAGTACCCGTGGGCCCCTTTGTTTGTTGCGGAGATACAGAGGGCCCCTTTAAGAAGAATACAAGGAGATCCAGGGGTACAGCACCAGCAGCATCAGCAGCAGCACCACAAGCAGCAGCAGCAACAACAGCAGCAGCAGCAGCAGCAACAGCAGCACCAGCAGCAAGAAGCAGCTCAAGGGCAATAAAGAAGAAACTCTTCCTTGGGGGATCTTCGCGTATCTTTGGAGGAAAGAAGACACAAGGAAAAAGATATCTAAGTTGTGTTTCTCCCCATTCCCCCCGTGCTGCTGCTGCTGCTGCTGCAGCAGCAGCAGGAGTAGGAGCAGGTGTATCAGCAGCAGCAGCAGCAGAGACAAGGACTCTACTTAGACCTATACGTGTTGCTCCGCTAGATCTTAAGGAGGAGACAGTCCTTCGTCCTGCTACGCTGCAGCAGCAGCAGCAGGTGCTGCTGCCGCCGCCGCAGCAGCAGCAGCAGTTGCTGCATGCACAGCCATGTGTTGTAGAGCAGCAACACTATGTGCTGCAGCAGCACCCATCCCATGGTCCCTATGTTGTGCAGCAGGAACCGTGTTTGCTGCAGCAGCAGCCGCAGCAGCAGCAGGTGCTGCTGCTGCAGCAGCAGCAGCAACCATACGTTGTGCAGCAAGTCCCCCCTGAGCTACTGCAGCAGCCGGTGTATTATGTAGATGTAGAGGAGGGCCTCCCTATTGAGCAACAGCAGCAGCAGCAACAGCAGCAGCAGCAGCAAGAAGTGGTGGTGCTGCTGCCTCCAGAGCATGAAGTAGGGAATATAGTATACCATGGTGGTGGGGGGCCCCCCTCCTTGCTGGTGGGGGCCCCCCCTATAGAGGGGCCCCCCTCTTCTTTACCAGTAGGTGTAGTGTGTGTACCCCCTCAAGTATATATGTCTGCTGCAGAGGAGGCAGCAGCCCTATCCTCTCCTGCTGCTTCTGCAGCAGCAGCAGCAGCTGCTGCTGCTGCTGCCCCCTGTATACTAGGGGAGGCCCTTAATCTAACAGGGAAGGTACTAAAGGTAGCGGGGGCCCATCTAGCTTATAGCTTGGGGGCCCTAATAAAGGAAGTGGGTACTGCAGTAGCAGAGGATACACTAGGCTTATTACGTAACGGGGTAGAGGTGTTGGAGGAACCTCTTCCTCTGCTGCTGCAGCAGCAGCAGCAGCAACAGCAGCAGCAGCAGCTGATGCTGCAGCAGCAGCAACAGAAACAGCAGCAAAACACACCTAGGGGGCCCCAACTCGCTCTTCCTCCGCCGGGGGCCCCTTCTAGGACCTCCTTGGTAAGGATAGAGGGGCCCCAGCAGGTACAAGAGAGGGGCCCCCTAACAGAGGAGGGGTGCCAGGAGGTACAGGCAGGGGCCTCTGTAGTACAAGAAGATGTGGTGTCTCCTAAGACGGGGGCCCCTGTACCCTCTATAGAAGCAGGGGGCCCCCACACGACCCTGGTGGTACTGCAGCAAGTTGAAGGAGACAAGGGGGCCCCCCTTGGGGGGGGCCTCTTAGAGGCTGACACACAGGAAGATATAGTGTACTGCCAGCAGCGGCAGCAGCAGCAGCAGCAGAAAGAGGAGGGGCAGCAGGAAGAGCAAGAACAGCAGCATGAACAAGAACAGCAGCAACAGCAGCAGCAAGAGCAGCAGCAGCAGCAGCAGCAGCAGCAGCAGCACGAACAGATGCTGCTGGAGCAACAGCAGCAAGAACTCGATCATATCAAGCAGCAACTGCAGCAGCAGCAGCAGAGGCAGCAGCAGCAGAAGCAGCAGCAGCAGCAGCAGCAGCAGCTGCGCTCTACCCGTTTATCTGTCCCTTTACCTGTGCTGCCAGTAGACGAGGAGACACCTGCTGCAGCAGCAGCAGCAGCAGCAGCAAAGGAGACACTTAATGAGGAAGAAAGGAGACAAGCAGCAGCAAGGTTAGCTGCTAGATGGAGGCCCCTTCCTTCCCCAAGGGGGGCCCCCCCACTCTCCTTTCATAACAAAGAGGGTACTAAGGGGTCCCAAGGGGGGCCCCTAGTACCCTCTATTAATGACACGGAAGGAATGCAGCAGCAACTCTCTCCTTAGCTTCCCTTATGTAGCAGCAGCAGCAGCAGCAGTAGCAGCAGCAGCAGCTGCAGCAGCTGCAGCAGCAGCAGCAGCAGCAAGGCTTTAGGGTGTTGGGTATTTGTGTATTACCCAATACAAACTGCTATATTAACTCCCTTGTCTATTTAATTATAAATAAATAAATAAATAAATAAATAAATAAATAAATAAATAAATAAATAAATAAATTTTATTTATATTTTATTTAGTTTCCCTTAATAGACATAGAGGAGACACATAAAGAGGGGGGGGGGGGCCCCAAGGGTACAGACAGAAGG